ACTGCTGTAGCTGAACCCAGGACACAAACACCTATAGTACAGAAACAAATGGCATATTTTTCTATTTTACAGTGTAATTTACTTGTTTTGGAGTTAACATACAATCTGTGAAAAAACTATACCCTCTTTCCCCTATCTTTACTATTCTTGACTATATATAATTTATCTGCTCTTTAAATTACTTATTAGTTGTATATTGTGCTTTTCTACCAGTCTTTGAACATATCCCTCATGGCTACTAATTCAGAAGCCACATATATTATAAATTGTTTCAACTCTCCTTACAGCATTAATCATTCTGTTATGCAAAATATCCATCTTAAGCTCTCTCATTTCATTTCCAAACCCACCCTCAAACAGTTGGAGCAATAAAAAAATAATTCAGCAAGCTGAAATATCATGCTTCCATTTTATCATCAAACTCTATGCTAATATTCCCTTATCGGTGCCCTAATTACATTCCTAAACTTGTGCTTTTTGCTCAAGGGAGCTCACCACCTTAATCTTTCGTGTGATTGTGAAAGATGCTAATCACACACCCAAAGGAGTTAGGGCCTGCAAGTTGTTTATCTCTCCCAAACTGTAAGAAGAAACAACCAGAACATAATAGCTTTTTTAAGCAAGATGCAGGTCCATGTGTCTTCTTATGAATTAATATTTAACATTATTAGAAGGATGTTTACTTGTATGGTCTATGGTTACCAATTCATTCGGAAAATTTCATTTTTAAAGTAGAAAAGCACCCGTTCACAGGTTACACACATGAACATACAACTTGTACACGTCAGAGGGAGGGGATCTGGACAGAGATCTTCCTTCCCTAATTGTTTGGTTTCAGAGTCTTGAAGTAAAGAGCAAGAAGCCTTCTTTGTCCACACACCCTACAGCTACACATACAGAAATGCAGTAGCTAATTCTAAAGTGGTTTTCCTTCCTATCTAAAAATCAAATTATATATTTTCTACAGGCATGAATATCTTTTCCATTAGCCAAATCCTAAGACAGGCAGGTAACTCACATATTCAGGACCCATTTTCTACATTGCTCTGTCTTATTTTTCCCCTCCCTTTTCTGTGAAATGGTATTTTAGATAAAAGTTTGAAGATCATTGATTTCTACTGCTTATTCCTCACCTGCAGCTACAAACCCATTTGTGTTATTGCAATTAATTACAGTAGAGATAATTATGGTGATACAAATACAGGTTTATAAATTTCAGTTAGGGTTAGGCAGCAGGAGACAAGCTCCTCAGGGAAAGATTCTTGTTTTCATGTAAATGCTTATTAAAAATGAGAAGACAGTCCTTCATCTGCAGAAAACTAGAGGGGAAATACAAATTAATTACTTCTCTTCTGAATTGCAAAAATAACATAATCTACGTTTCCATCAGGTACTGGCAGCTGTTATGGAAACCAGCCTATCCTTACAGCAAAAGGCAAAAACCCAGCACTGATGTTGTTAAAGGGCTCTTCTAATTTTATGCAGCTCAGCAAATCAAAAGCAATGATGTAATTTCATGGATGTGCAAAATGTATTATTAAAAGACATGGTTCTAGTGAAGAAAATGGTGCTGCCGAGTGGGAAAACATTTTCTGTCTATATTAACCTTCCATCCACATATGACATCTTCTCTTTTCCACCCAGTTTCTACCAGTTTGTATCTCAGCCACAAACGCCGGCACCCTCCAAACTCCTCCTTTGCCTGGGTCCAGAAGACACTCTGCAGAAGATAAGCTGCAGTCCTATGCATCGGGTTGCTTGTGGAAGCCATTACATTGAGAGATGAGATCAGAGCCTCTCAGAAGAATTTGGAGACAAGAACTATATGTGGATGTCACCAATTTCTGCTTGAGTCAATAACCCCTTCCATTAATAGAAGTTAAATCAAGTGTCATGGACTTTACGGAGCTCTCCAGTTCCTCACAGTAAACTTTTGCTGAGCAGTTCCTAGGGGTAACTATTACCCTATGCTCCTCTTAAACCAGACATTCGCTGTAGAGTATTATCTTTTGGCAGTAAGACTCTCACAAGGCTGTAAATCCACCAGAATTTCACTGCTACTAGAGAAACACAGTTGCAGATGACTAGGCAGGACTATAGTGCTTCATTCTTCTGCATGCCAGTTTGAACTGGAAAAAGATGAGGTTAGCAGCACTTACTCAGCATAGTATTACAAGGAAATATCCCCTCAAATGCTATTTGTTGTGGGAAAAATACAATGGAATAACCACGTTCACACAGACCTGCGAAGAACACCCTTTTCCCCAGAAGTAACCAGAACTCTGCACTTTTATTTAGCAGATGGACATCTTGGGGCCTGTGGGGTGAAAAGCAACACCCTGCAGGTGCTTTGTGACAACAAAACTCCAGAGATATTTACCATGTCTTGGCTGGCCCTTGATGATGGTGTAAGTTATCTCGGAGTCACGGACACCAGGCAGCTCAGCATGCAGTATTGTCTTGGAGATTTGTAGCATGCCTCCCTGGGGAACCCACACCAGGGAATTGGTCACCAGCTGAGGGCTTCTGTTATTCTGCATTTAGGGAGACAGCAGAAAAAAAGGCTTAACTGAATGTCAGCAATGTTGCACTCCTGGAAACAGATTTTCAAGTGAAAAGGATCAAGCAGAATATTTTGGAATTTGTTATATATTCAGATCTGGTTGTCTGCTCCAAGAAACGGTTGTGCATCCTTTACCTAACCCTAGGATTCCTAGGATGCAATTCTCACCCTGCAGAACTGACCTTGTCTTCCAATGGTTCTAATTTCGTGTCACTGACATTAAACCTTCTTGACCTCAGCTTCCTTCCGTAACTTTGCCTTTTTCCACTATCCTCATTGTCTCTCTGATTGACTTTTGATGTGTCTGACATGGCACAGTCGAAAATTCACTATCAACATCTGAAATTAAATTATCCAGTCTACTACACTACTTTGATGGGATCCACATGCTCTCCCATGTCTCCCCACTTTATTTCTAAAAACATACACCTTTCAAGGGTACTTATTGAACAACATCTTCTCACTTTTTGAATAAAAGCGTGTCTGTACAGCACCTCCACTAACTTTACACATATCTGCAACTGTTATCACCTCTCCATGAGCAAACCCAGGTTCAAGACCAACCCCGTATTTGTCTACAAGATGGGGGAAAATTGAACTTAATTCAAATTTCACTCAGTAACTATTGCACCAAACATCATTATTTTTTGCTTAGTTAGCATTTTCAAGTTAGAATGTACTTGCAGGAAGACTTTTAGATCAGGTATCTTCTCTCACGGTGGGACTTACACCCATAGTCAAGTCATGTCTTAACCACTTTTGTGAGACTGCAGGAAGACTGCCTGAGCATACACCAAAATCATCTGCTACATGATGGGTTTTCAAACCTTCAGATTACTCCTGTGCCTCTTTTTTTTTTCAAATAAATATTTATCCAACATTAAGTCAAGCTTCTTGAAACGTGGATGTGACGACTGGATGAAGTAATGGCTTCACTACCATTTTCATGTACTTCCATAACACTACTCTGGCATTCAAGGATTGTATTATCCCTTTTTTGGATCTAAATTACTTTGTTAGCTTATGCTGTGTTGGACAGGCCACCAAAATCCCCATGACTCTTCTGTGCCGTGGTTCTTTCTTATAAGCCCAGTTGCTGTAAATGTGATTTCTCTTCTTGATTTCTGCACATTCACCTTGAAACTGGCTGCAGTGAACTGCATAATCAGTCAAAATCCTGGCTGCTCCATAGAACTGATCATCTTCCTCCTCATTTACTATTGCACATAACTGTGTGTCACTCCAAAACTGGTAAATGCCTTATTACTACGTTCTTCTGAATCTGCAGCAGACAGTAGAGAGCTAGAAAGATGTTTGTGAACAAGAATCCCATTAAAGGATGATTTCCCATCTCCATTTTGAATGTCTGTTGCACAACTTTCACCCATTTAATTTGTATTATGCCTGTTTTGCACACGTTTATTCTTGAATGCCACATGATCTTAGACTGTGTTAGGTCAAGAGTTTCCCAGCACAATGGTTAGTTTATTTTTATAAAGAACAGTGAAGAAGAAAACCAGACTCTCTGCCAGCTGCCAAGAGAACCCTGCCAGTATATACGATCACTCCCCTCTGACAACTTCCCTCTGACCTTATTGATTTGATCACATCATGACATATTTAGGCCTAAGAGAGTGTAACTCTGGAACAGGAAACAAACTCAACAGGTCAGAAAGGTCCTTGGATTTCTTGTGTGAGGAGAGAAAATAAAGACTAGCCACACTTCCAAAGAAGGACAGGCAAAATGCACCGTCTGGAAAGAAAGTATTTCTAAGTGAATGTTCACAGAATCACAGAATGGTTTGGGTTGGAAAGGACCTAAAGATCTTCTAGTTCCAATCCCTGCCATGGGCAGGAACACCTTCCACCAGACCAGGTTGCTCCAAGCCCCATCCAACCTGGCCTTGAACACTGCCAGGGATGGGGCAGCCACAGCTTCTCTGGGCACCCTCTGCCAGGGCCTCACCATTCTCATAGTAAAGAATTTCTTCCCTATATCCAACCTAAATCTTCCCTGCTTAAGTTTGAACCCATTGCCCCTTGTCCTATCGCTATAGGCCCTAATGAAGAGTCCCTCCCCAGCATGCTTGTAGCCCCCTTCAGATACTGGAAGGCTGCTCTGAGGTCTCCACGCAGCTTCTCTTCTCCAGACTGAACAGCCCCAACTTTCTCAGCCTGTCTTCATACAGGAAGTGCTCCAGCCCCCTGATCATCCTTGCGGCCTCCTCTGGACTTGCTCCAACACCTCCATGTCCTTCTTACGTTGGGGACACCAGAACTGCACACAGTACTCCAATGCTAATGGGTGATGAAATGCCTTGCAAAAATCCTGGAGACCTCCCTCAGGTGGATCTCCTCTAGAGGTTCAACACAGCCCTAAAATAAATGTCTCAAGACTCTCCCTTGCATTCTCCCATCCTCTCAGAAAAGAAAGGCTTCCACATCTCATCAGCAATGAGCAGACTGCATGTGGTTAGGCCTGACCTCCTCTGACTTACAGTATGTAGGTCTGTGACCATATTTTCTAGGCTCCTCATTCACCATTGGAGCTCCACTGGTGGTGCTCTGCCAAGAAATGAAGCACCAGCAGGTCTCAAATTAACTTCACAGAAGCTGTAATTGTTCAAGAATGTCAACAAGGATAAACAGCAGTGCAAATCATTATGAAGAGCTCTCAAAATAGAGGCCAGCTGTTCCGACTGCAGTAGGTCAAACGAAGAGTTTGGATGGGAGAAGCAGGCTGTTAGCAACCAAAGGGGCTATGAAATGCACCTTGCAGAAAACAAGGCACAACTGTTGTGAAGAAGCAAACCCCTCTGATTCATAATATTTGGAATGTTGTTGTCCTTTATGTTTTAACACTTGCACTGCAGTGCTCCTACGGATTAATGCCTGAGCCCATTAAATAGGAATCCTAGAAAGGTCCTTTCACACCAGGACTTACTATACAGAACCATCCAGCAGCACATTACAAGCTACACAAGCTCAGATAAGGAACGTGGTTAAAAAACCCCACACCTTGAGCTCCCACACCTCCACCCAGGGTCCTACTGGGCCCTTGAGCATCCTTGAATGTAAAACAAGGAAAAAATCCCAAGTGTCTTGGCACGCGTGTGTCTCAATGGCACCTTTTCAGAACCAAATCCTGCATGCATTCCAGCTCCCAAGGGCTATTCCACAAAGACGGTAATTAGGATGAGACAGGAGCTGGGTATCTGCCAGCTCTACCCTCATACTAAAAGCTGCTCCATTCTCACCTCTGTCACCACCTTCATTCTTCTCTGTAGCCAAGGGCTGCACAGAGAGACTTGGAAAGATAATGAGAGGCACAGAAGCACAAAAATCAGCTAATAAAGGAAACTAGACTAAGCAATTTACCCTCACTGGCATTTACAAGAACCTGCTTAATCAATAGCAAAAAAGAAAGAAGTGTTACAAACAGAGCGTGTCCAAGCATTTTTACAGTCCTTCTGATCTGATACAGGCTCATTAGGGAGTGATCTGGGTAAAGACAGCACAGGCAGGGCTGCTCTTATTCCAGGAGTCTAGTAAGCCAGCACCAGCCTTGAAAACAGCCCCTTTTTCATTACCAGATTGACGGGCGAGTCATGTCACTAAGAAGCATTAATTACTAGAGCAGCTTTAGGAGCACCTCAGGGTCCAAATGGGAGCAGGCTCCCCTTACACTAAAAACCCAGACCTATGTAGTGCTTGTAAATCTTATCTAAAATATTCATGCCCAAGTTGCTGTGAAAGATGTCTAATACAGCAGAGAAGAGAACAAAAGAGGGGTAATACCATCTCCTCCTGACTCCTTCTCACGGAGTGAAAGCACTCAAAGATGGTGTAATTCTCAGATCCACACATATAAAAAGATTGCAAACAGTGAACTAACAAACAGCTCAATTTTTCATCACTCTTCTCCATTAACTAAAGGATAAGGAAATTTTCAGCTTTTTTTTTTCCTTCTATTTTATTACAATATTAAAATGAAGTGAAGTGCTTGTGAGTACTTCAGCAACTTTATTTTTGTCAAGGTTCCACCACACATTATGTATGTTTTCCACACCTTGTTTGGCTGGGGTTTGTTTAATAAACAAATAGAAAGCATTAAAAGCACCACTGCTTTTAATTTTACTGCTGTAATCTCTATAAAAGTTAATATCAAGAGTCACTTCATGTCCAAATACAGAAAAGACAAACCACCACTGTTCAATTATGAACTGCAATAAAAGCAAGAAATAAAAACTAAAGTACTTCTGAATCATTTCTGAATTTAGGTATCTGTTCCCTGTCCTTAGGGAAGTTATCAAACACAAAGACACAACAATTAAAAGATTTCAGTGGAGCAATGCTGAGTGACCAGCAGAACTCCTGACCTTGGAAGATACTAGCACCTCCAAAGTACCAGTGATACACCTTAACAGTCAAGTTGTTTCAGTTCATGCATGGTCCTTTTATTTCCCATCACACTCCCATCAGCTTGAGTGATTTGCCTGTCTCATCAGCCCTCCCTCCTTGCCACCCACTTGTTCTCTTATTTATTGCCCTCACCAGTACAAAACTCATCTGCAGCTACAGAAAATCTTTTTTATTAAAGAACGATGGACTTTGCATTGTCAAAGAGGCAAAACTGGAGCTGAACCATTCCAGTCGCAAACCAAAAAATCAGGTGACCTCCAAAACTCAATCAATCCACTGCTTTCTCCTGCCTCTGACCAGAGTCTGTCAGTAATGCAGCATCAGTGACACCTCAGGGATGTAATGATACTTCTCCAGACATCTAATTTGCCTGCCACTGCTAGGCTTTTCTCTTCTTCAAAGAAAGGCTGAAAGAGATGGGCTTGTTCAGCCTGGAGAAGAGAAGGCTCTGGGGAGATTTTAGAGCAGCTTCCAGTGCCTAAAGGGGCTGACAAGAAATCTGGAGAGGGGCTTTTGACAAGGGCAGGTACAGATAGGACAAGGGGGAATGGCTTTAAACTGAGAAAGGGGAGATTTAGATTAGATATGAGGAAGAAGTTCTTCCCTGTGAGGGTGCTGAGGTGCTGGCACAGGGTGCCCAGAGAAGCAGTGGCTGCCCCCTCCCTC